TACTTCTACTACTGCTACTACCACCACTACTACTACGAACACTAAGAATAATGTAGTCTTCTTTGAGTATCACAGACAAGGGGTGTTTGCATGACGGTGTGGCCTCGGCTCAGCATCCTGTGCCGACGGCACGGCGATCTCCAGCTGCCTGGCTGAACCCAGGAAGTTGACTTGGGAGTACCTGTAAAGGGTACCCTTAAAGGGGATATGGGAGCTGCATAGGGTATATAGGGTTACATGGGGTTTAGGGTTTCCTAACAATAGGGGTACCATTTGGGTGGGGTCCCTGTGACAAGGTTCATAGTGCTTTGGGGTCTATATTGGGGGATTTAGGAAACCTACCATATATCCTTCCTTTTATTTTGGGACTGTACTCTGTATAAACCACCATTCAGTAGTTTCCATGCTCTTTTCCATTGTCCCCATATAACCCCATTATACATATCCTATTATACTATAATAGTCTCAAGTTTCTTACTATCCCTATACAAGCCTACATTATACCCTTGCACCCTCGACCCTAAACCCCAAACCCTATACTCTAAACCCTAAAGCTCAAAACCCTAAACCCCTAAACCCTAAACCTCTAAACTTGCGTCGTATTTTTTTTAACTTCTGGTATCCTGGAACATAGCAGGCGAAACCTTGCTTCCTACACCTCTAAACCCCTTATCCCAATTATCTATCTTCGCTGTCACGAGAACGGAGGCCGAGCCTAGAAGGGGACTGAGACCCAGTGCCGTCTTGCAAGGCCAATTCCGGGGAGTCCGGGGCTGTCAAGGCCGGTTGCCTGACGAAGAAGCCAGAAACCATAATGTACTATAGTACCATAATATACTAGAATATACTTTAATATACTAGAATATACCATAATATGCTAGAATATACCATACTTACTATAGTGCTTTGAGAGCAGCCAGCTTGATAAGGTTAAGTGAGCCGGGATACGAAGCAAACGGCAGTTGAGTCTGCTCCTTCTCGAAGTTGTCATAACCACTTCCATAGCCTGACATCCAAACGGCAGGACATACCCTAAACCCTATACCCTGTAAAACCCATTATCAAAGTTTCCATTTTTCCATTATCCCTATATAACACCTATATAATACATTTTACTCTAGTAGCTTCCATTGTCTTTTCCATTATCCCTATAATAACCTATATAACCCTAATATTACCCCAATAGGTCTGGGTTAAACCCTAAAGCCCCTTGTGTGCCCGAGATGCACACCGGAATCGACCCGCGTTAGCTGGTTCTGAGGCGTGAATGCCTGGACATGCACATGGATTTACAGATACCTTTTCTGGATACACTTGCACATGTGCCTTGTAGAGCGTTGGGAGGTTGGTGTGTATTTGCACCTGCAGAAAAGACAAAAGTGCTTCACATCAGTCCACAACAAGGAGTGAATCCTCACCAAGAGGTTTTACAAGAACTTTGGCGGGATATGTGCCCATGTCCTGTTCGGACAACCAGGGGATTAAGTGCCCAGCTTCTTGCTGATCTTTGTCTCTCATGGCGGCAACCACGTTGGAAACTGGCCCCATTGTCCTGAGCATGACGCTCACGGACATTGCACCTGCGCATGTACTTCATGCAATAGATCCTGTGCCCTGCTCCAATGGCCCTCCAATAATCACACCTTTCAACTTCAAAAGCCTGTTGAAGAAATGTTCGTTGCCGAACAACCGAAAAAGTATTGGCGAAAGCAACAGGGCACGCCTGATTTGGCACTTTACAAACAACCACCAAGGAACGTGTAGCTGCCTAACTGCATAGCCTCTCACCCAGCTTTTGCTTGTTTTTTGTTCTGAATTACCAACTCTGCGTACAAACACTAACTCGCCGCAGATGTGTCATAACATGTGCAAGCTGGTCTGGCAGTCATGTGAGGTAGAGAAAGCCTATCAATCAAGCAATGACTTGACTTGGCTCCCCACGGGCTGGACTGCATCACATTCTTCGTAAAGCGCGGAGGCTCCAAGCACTGTGCATCCATCTCCTCACCATGTCACGTGGCGCAACAGTCCCGCAGCACAGGACCAATGCATGGTTGGTCAAAAAAGAACTGAGCATGATGTTGCCCTTGAACTACACCATACTCGACTTACAAGTCTCCTACTTCAGTGATACCCAGCGCTGCTACCAGCATGAGAGGGCTGCCCTGGCGAACCTTCATCACCCGTCTCTCGATCAGCGCTCCAGTGACGCTGCCCACAACGGATCCCACAATCACCCCAACTGCCTCAATGGTGTGCAAATGAGCCATTGTCTAAACTCCTAGTATCCCCCCTATAATGGCTAGAGTAGCCCCCTATATAATCCCCCATGTAAGGAGTTGAGACGATAGCTCAAATGGGCTGCAATCCTCCTCAGGACGGTAGGTGCGGGCATGCATCATTTGGTGTATTGGGGTGCAGGTTGCGGATCTGGTGTCAGGATGTGTCAGGGTTTTGAGAATGTGTACACAATTGCTGGAGCCTTGGGCCTTGGTTGCAGGAACTGAGACACAACAACCGTACTGAGCCACCGGCCCAGTGGACCAGAAGGCTGGTACCCAGTGCTGCCTAAGATCTCAAAGGCCTGGACAGTGCATTGGCCGAGCTCTGAGCTACAGGCCAGCGTTCCCGCAGCCACACTCCACTTCCCTTGGGCGCTAGGAATCTACTCTTGCTCAGATGGACAGCTCCAGAGCACCTGCCGGCTTCTCCAGCACCTTGTCCGTCGCTAGGCCATAAGCAAGGCCTGCCAACCGCTCAGGTGAAGCACGCTTGATGTGACCTGGTGTCCTCACCTAGGAGGTAGCCGAAGCCCGCCGCTGTCAGCAAGCCGATGTCCGCCCCAAAGAAGCTCGCCATGGGCTGCAGAGGGGACAGAATGATGCTGAAGACCCACCCCTGACTGCAATCATGATGTGTCACTTCGCCTCGTACGCTACCATGGCTCCAAAGACGCCTGCTATGACGCCGAAGGGGCCAGACCTGTTTTCAACTTCCAGGGGGGCACAGGTCTCTTGCGGGGTTTCTCGCAGCCAAGCTAGCGGCATGATGCGGGAGGTGGAGAGCAGCGGCCATATCTAGAGTCACACACTTTCGTCACTTTTACGGTGGTGCTCTCACCAACCAGGCACCAACTCAGGCCCCGACGCTGCTCTCAGACTCTGTGCCTCAGTTCTCGGGATTCCCATTCAGAAGCTGGCACAGGGCATCCTGGGCACGTTGCCGTCGATCTGCGGAGGCGTCTTGCGGAATGCCAAGTTGGTGGCCGGCACCAAAACAATGGCCTGGATTGCAAGAACTTCTCAACTCTCTGAACAGCACCTTCAGCCCTGCAAGCTGAGATGTCTGCGAGCATCGACATGGCAAGATAGAAATTGGTCTCGGCCAGTCTCCATGTGAACACCCTAGCAAGCCGCAAGCGGTTCGTCGACATCAAGGGTATTTGCATGTCTTTGCAACTGAAGCGTGCCCCTCTTCAGACATGTAACCTCCGGCATGGCCCTACCTACAGTTTACACACAGCTTCGAAGGTCAGCAGCGTCGAAATCCACGCTGGCCTGGCAAGCCCTACAGCTGACATCGCCGCGAAGCAAACCTGCAAACTCTGAAGCGAAGGGCGGAGAGGGGTGTTGATTGATTGATCGATTGATTGAGCGCCCATAGGGAAGGGAGAGGGGGAGAGAAGAAGGCAGTGGGGCAAGCAGGCGGGGCAGGGAGGGAGCTTAGCTCAAGATCGGTGTTGAATCTCTTTGCTCGTTCGCCTGCCACTTCCAAATGATGTACACAGTATTACCCCACTTCTCCAAATTATCATACCTAGCGTGCAAAGGAAGTGGCAGGAGACCCACGGTTGACATGGCCGCCTTGATGATGCCACCCGACAGATCGCAATTTGCACCTTGCATGCAGTTGCATGGCTGCTTTCAACAGAAACCTAATGAGAGCAAACGAGCGAGCAGGCAAACTGTGGGTTCGTTGCCTGCAGGACGGGTAAACCTGCTACTGCTACGGTTCTGAGGGGCCGGCACAGCTCCAGCGCATAGGTTGACATGGCAATTAGTACCTTGACAGTGGCCCAAGGTTCATGCCGAAGGAATGATCTTCTTCGGCCCTGCGGCTCTCCGCCAAACTAATATGTGTACCTTGGGTATTGCTCCCACCCAGCAACAGTCTATATTAGGGGTCCTATTAAGGGCTATACAAACCATATTATACATATTATCCAAGTGTTACTGAAGGGGGGGCAGTACCCAATGTGTACCCTCTACCGTCCTTCTGAAGGGAGACTTGTGGAGGTTCACAGCTCGTCATAACCTACAACGACTCTACTTAGAGAAGGACAACGCATCTGGGGGATTTATAGCCGTGCTGCCAGTGTAGTTTCCGTTGACAAGGGGACCCCAATATACACCCCAATATAATATCGTCCATACTTTTAGACCCCCCAAAATGCTACCCCTAATTCTTGGACAGCCTAATCCCTATAAGCCACTACAATTCCCCAGTTTCCATTCCATGTTCTATTTTCTGTTCCATTTGATTCCCCATTACTAGCGGAGAATATCCGTAATCCCTAGACCCAAAACAGTTAAATAGTAGCTTCCTTTTTCTTTTCCATTCCCCTACATAACACCCTATAACACCCCCTAGGTAATCCCTACACATATCACCTTTCAACCTCGAAGTATGCCCCCTAAACCCCAAAAACAAACCCTAAAACCATGACCCCTGAAACCCTAAACCCCTAACCCCCTAAAACCCATAACCCCTGAACCCCAAACCCTAAACCCCTAAAACCCATAACCCCTAAACCCCTAAAACCCCAAACCCTAAAACCCTTAACCCCTA